AAAAATAATAGTACATACGATTAAAGTAAAAAGAAAATTCTCTTTTTAATTGATACGAAATGAAATTCCGGAGTATCCATCATTTATAGAAATCGTCTCTTGCAATATAACATGAATTCATACAGACCATTAGTTCAAAGTACAGATTTTTTTTTTTATCCTCTTGGTCTCTCACTTAATGACATCAATTACTACATCCACGATAATGACAACTTGTTCTCTAGTAACTGGACAACTAGAAATTGCCAAGCGATGTTTCTGCTCGCTTGTCAATAATAGATATCTGTCAGAAGTCTTTAAGTGTTTCCTGCATCATTACTGTTGATCCTTTATGTTTTTTTCGGTCCTAAAACTCTTGTTTATCTCTAGATCCGATAAAATGAATATTTATAAAGCTTTAACTTCGTCTATTTAAATGAGTAGTTGCATCTATCGATAACTTCCAAATGTATCTGTCATAGCAACACCTCTCTCAACATTAAACACTACTTAAATCGTTTAATTTTATAGATTTTATAAAAATCGATAGAGTTTATTGTAAAGTGTCTTTTTGTTATCGTACAATATTTACTTTTACATTAGTCGACATTATCCTTTCACTTTTACGATGGTAAATGTAAAAGCAAATTTTGTTTTCTGCCACGTAAACAACTCCAAACAAACACACCTAAATCAAGTAGCTGTTCCTTTTATGCGAAATTCGAAGTACTGAAACGTAAGTGCAAAAGTGTTATTGTATATAACAAAAACATATCATAGATTTTTATATAATCACAAAAACAGAACTTGTAGAAGTTAAGATTATTGTGTTAAAGATAGGGAACTGCGCCATATTGCTTACCATAAGTTATGGTGTTAGTTCCAACTCTGATCTACTAAACTGAATTCAACCAGTGTTTTCAACCTTTATCTTACAGTAGTGTTCCCTAAGTTGATATTCTTCTACTCTTTATCAGATTAACTGTGTTTTTCGTATCAGTAATACACGTACGAAGTGTCGAAGTGCCACGAAATATAGTAGGCTACTATTCATTTTGCATCGCAGCATCCCGGTTGAAAACCACCGCCATAGGCTTCCCAGGTAAAAGCTTGCCATCTTTCCTATTCAAAGTCCACACGACCGGGACCACATAAAATTGAAATTTATTTTATTGCTAAAAGTGGAGTTCCTTCTTAATCGAATTTATTAATGTTTAAATTAAATTAAATTAAAAGTAAGCGCTGGTAGAATGGAAGATAAAAGAAGAAATGTTAGAATAAAGAAAAGGAGAAGTTTTATTTTTATATTCTTGCGTATGCAATTTTACGTGGATTCAATTTCGATTGTAGAGAAAATTAGATTTTGTTCTTTTAAGCGAGGAATCTTTTACGTCCCTCCGTTCGTGTAGCGTGTTGTATATAACAACCTTTAAATCGCATGCGGTCAAATTGATTTCTATGCGAAATAGAAATTATTTCGGGATCGAAGAATCTACTTTCCCCTTGCGAAACTAATATATTCTTTCGAATTTCTAAGTTTTATTTAGTTGTAAAGTTTGTTAGAGAGCGAAACAACTCTTTTTTCGCGTATATCGCCGTGTCTTTGCAAAGATTAAATATAAAATGTGTGCTACAACTTTTTAGAGTCGAGATAAGTTTTGGGACTTGCCCACTGATGACCGAGAGGATAAAATCACCGAATGTTCGCGGCGCCTGACCAGTTTTTCGGGTTTTCTTCACGTGTCTAACGCATAAATAAGAGCCAGTTTTCCATAGAAAGTCCTCCCGAGATGCGAGATGCCTTGGCAGATCCTCCGTGTGTTTCTTTGCTGTATCTCATCGAACTGAACGACGTTTTCGGACTAGTGGTTCGTAACAGTCTCCACAGTTTCTATAGCGATTTATAATGTATTTAGTACAACCTGTTTTACTAACCTGTATATAACACAGTTTATACAGCGGTTCTTAACTCCGGTATTTAAGTATCCCACAGATTCCAATGTCGTGTTTTTACCCAAAGGAAATATAAGGAAGGCGTAAGGTGTCTTTCTGAAAATTATTATCAATTGTTCACTCGCAGGTTGTTTATAACACAGAAATGGTTAATTACTTATATGACAGTTCTTGCATTGTGAGACTAATTTTGATTTTGCTCTGATATAACATTAATTTCTTACTATTGTATAACCTTTATCCTTAATAAATAGATTGACATATTATGCAGCATTGTTAGATACGTATATACGGGATCAGATTGATTTCACGGTATCAAAAATGTACTTGTTGTTTACTTTTCCGGCTATTATATATAACAGAGAAAAAGTATGGCGATCGGTCAAAGTATGACCCCCAAGATTTTTACATTTTTTGACTCAGGACACGTTGAATGTCGAGAAATGCAAAAAGTTTCGGGGGAAATTTCTATATGTATGGATGTTAGCGTTTATGTATGTGGCACTATTTCGTTCACCCTCTTCGGGGCTTAATAACTCCCATGCTTTTTGTCGAAAATTTCTGAAATTTTGCACTGAAATTTGTACATTAGCGGGATCGACGCTTTTAAATTTTGGTGGTTAAAGATCGAGGGGATGGGGAGTTAAAGGGAGTCGTGTGTCATATCTCCAGTAGAGTAGGGCTTAATGACTATTTTACTCGTTATTAGCATTTCCAATTTTTATTATAAAACTATCCCTAACTTCAAAATTGCGATTTTATAATAATTAAAAATAAAAAAGTTTTAATGATAAAATATCATAACAGATGGTGCCACATACGCAATTTTAAATGTTGCCAGGAAAGTTAAGCAACTCGTTGCTAGATTTTCCTTTTATGATACCGACACGGATTATAAACGTGAAAGTGTCATAAAGTAACCCCGATTTACCGCATAAAAAACTATACATTTTAAGCAAGAAACGTAAGTTTAACGAAAAAATATTAAAACGATTGATCTAACAAAATTTTCTATCTAATTAATAGCGATTGTGCGCCATATTTACTCTTTCCTCAATCGCTTAATATTAAATAAAGTAAAATTTACATAATTTAAGACCGAATTTAGATAAGGAAATATTATTCACTAACTTACCATTCGAATGGTGTTAAATATACCATCGAAAGGTTTGTTTAAGTACTTTGTAAGTGGCCGGGAGCGGTCGAGACGTGTTCAATCGACACGATTTAAAATTTATTTTCCTCTTCACAAATCCACAAAATACAATTTTATAATAATAATAATTAAATCTTGAAGTGTTTATTTGAAATAATTTGCGTAAATGCGCATTCAAACAATTTACAAAACTTTAATTAATGACATTCCGAGAAATTTCAAAGACTTTTCCTAATTTCTCTATGAAGTTCGAATAATTAGGCAAATTTAATCCCACACACAATTAATTGTTTAAAAAAATGTCTTTATGTATTTATGTCTTTACTTATATAACGTGATATTATGCAATTTTATATTCATAAATAAAGTAGAAAACGTTTCCATATGACTTTTTATTGTAAGAGAAAAATAATTAAAACGGAATTACAATGAAAATGAAATATGTAAATAGGGGAAAACTCCATTATTTCGTCGGAAAATAAAGTACATCTGTCTTGTAATATGAATTTTTAAATGGAAATTCGTTAAAGTTTTACTTAGAAATCTTAATAAATCTTTATCGGTTTTGCTGTGTTCTGATTTAATATTAAGTAAATAAGTAAATTATTTTTGTATACAATTTTTATACAATGCCATGCTGCAATTTATAATAACCTTTTAATCTAAAAAATTGTATAGTTAATCGAGATCTCCGGCCCCTGCAATCGATAACAGATGTTTCCGTATGTGGTCTCGATTTTAGTAGTGTCTGGCCCCTGTATATTATACTTCTCCTGATAAGAATAGAGTCATGTCGGTCGTCTAATACAGTTTTAGAGAAAATTTTGAACTGAAATCATATGAATTTCAGTCGTATATCTCCAGTTCTTAAGCTTTACAATATGAAAATTGCAGTCCAGTAAGTTCGCAAGTTACAGTTACAAAATGGCGGCCGTTTAAATAGTGCTATTCTTTCTTATTTTTTATTTATTACAATTATACCCCTTTTTAACACAATAATTGTCACTTTAAAAGAAGAAAAAGTATAATTTAATAGAATCGGATTATTTTCGTGAAGTAAAAAACATATTTTTATATAATTCTTACGTTATTTTCATAAATTTTACCTTAGAAACTAATATCTCATACACTTTAAGAGTTGTGTTATAGATTCATGTTACTGTATATTACATAATATCGGTGTTAATAATTTGTTTACCACGTCACTCTTTCGTAGCGTATTAAGTAAATGTCAAATGTCCAAAGTGGGATTCGTCCCTGGTGTTCTTTTTCTTCTCAGGCACGGATCATAATGCGAGAGTAAAATATTATTCTCTTTACCTCGACAGTGAATAATTGATACAAACAAAAATGAAAATACAAGTCTTAAGTTTCCCAAGAGATAAAAACCTTTTTCCAGACCCCGTGTTTTCAAAAGGAAATAAAATTTCTCTTCCATTTCCTGCGGAAGCACTTAGCAAACGTTGCTGAAATATAACTGTAAACGTTGTTCGACTTATTTATTTATTATTTAATAGATAAAAATTCTTTTAACAATTGACTTTTCACCTCCCATATTCGACATAGGAACACGTCCGACATTCCCCTCCTCGTTTTAACATTTATTGCACTATTTATTAAGAAAATAAGTGTGCTATATCGAGGCATTCCTCGTTACGATCACCTCCATCACGTGCGATGGAGATTTACCATCCTCGACGTGGGGGATGGCGAGTATACGACAATAAAAGAAGATGCTTTTGGCATATCGAAAGCTTCATAAATATACGTCACACGTATCTTTTGTTTACGTAAGCATTGTCGTGATGAAAGTTCTTTCGATGCGAGTGAGGAGAGGGAGAAAATGGTGTTTGAAGGATGGAAATTTGAGTGAAAATTCTCAGATTTTTTAACATTATTTAATTTTTTCCAGCTGTTTCGGTGTCTGTAACCGTCTGGACTTTAGTGGCTATTTCTTTGGAGCGATTTTTTGCCATCTGTCGACCACTTCATTCTCGAAGGTGGCAGACTGTTTCGCACGCCTACAAAGTGATTGCTGCTATATGGATCGGTTCTTTATCCATGATGTTACCTATCGCTTGTCTAAGTCGACTCATCCCCCTCCGTAGTCAAGGTGAGTTTTCAACTTATAATATATTTTTTTATTATACGAATAAAATAATTTCAGAGAATTAAAAAAAAATTTTACAAACGAAACGGAAATGTTGAAAGTGGAAAACACTCACCGGTGGCCACCGCCATGTTGTTTATATAAAGCGCCCCCTTATTTTTATAAATTTTAAAACGAAAACTACAAACGAGGCGTTTTATCGCTTCTATACAATATGGCGGCGGAATCCGGTGTGTTTCTTTCGATTTGTTTATACTTATTTTCTTATACAAATTTATTTCTCGAAGGCATTTATTGAATTAATAAAACTACCTTAAAATATTTAAAATTTAAACACGATAAAGAAAATCTTACTAATTTTAGAGCCACGATACCGAAGTTTTGGTGTCATTACAGCTTAATTATCGAGCTCCAAAAGTCATAAATACATAAGATGTGAGAGATTTTACGATCCAGATTAAAAATTTTAATAAACATAATTAAATGTTTTTTTAAATAAATATTTCATAAGTCTAAAATTCCTTCGATAAATTTAAAAAAAGAAAAAAAACAAGTGAACGTTTCCATCACTTGAGTGAGAACTCGAAGAAAATACAGCTTATGGAAGCAGAAAGTGAACTTATTAAATCGATTTAATGTAATTTCAGCATTCTTACGAGCTGCCTTTTAATGAAATTACAAGAAAAAGCGTGGAATTTTCTAATATAGCTTATAAAAATGAATTTATTATTTTAGAAAATTTATTAAGAAAAAATAAAATAATAAGTACGGTGGCAATTAGTTGGACAAGAAAACCCTTTAAATTGTACATTAAATAAATTTTAATAGAAGTCCTCCGATGACGAATTACTCGCGTCATTTTAGATAAATAAAATAAGAAAATTAAAGAAAAAATAAATAAATATGTAGGCTACCTCGTTATTGTGTCTGGGAGGGGATATTTCATAATTATTGTATTTTTCCATTGTTAAGGAAACTGTAGAAGGTCTGTTTCTTCGAACGTGCGGATTCTGTAATTAATTTCTGTTTAGATACATTATAAAAATTGATTTATCCCTTCGTTTATACGTGAAAAATAAATTTAGCAATTAAGCGTAACAGCTCATCAAATTACTCATTTTATTCGAAACCATTCTTAATTTGCTTTATTTTTGTCTTAATTCTAATTAAAGCGTAAGAATTAAGTGGCTGCCATTTTGATTGGTTAATACGGATTAGGAACTTAGACTACGAGGCTCTATGCTTGGAGCTTCGTGTTTAATATATAAGCTCGAGACTCTATGTTAGAGTCTTGTGTTTAGTGTAGAAGCTCGAGACTCTATGTTAGAGTCTTGTGTTTAGTGTAGAAGCTTGAGGCTTTTAGAGTCTTGTGTTTAGTGTAGAAGCTCGAGGCTCTTAGAATCTCGTGTTTAGTGTAGAGGCTCGAGGCTCTTAGAATCTTGTGTTTAGTGTAGAGGCTCGAGGCTCTATGCTAGAGTGTCGTATTTTATGTAGAAGCGCGAGGCCCCATGGTTATATTAAATTTATTACTGCTTAGTAAGGGCCTCTAATATGTTACAGATTAAGCCTCAATAAATGTAACTCTCGGTTAATAGTTTTTAATATTTTGCCAAAAATAAAACTTTTTCAACTCAATTTGTGGGTAATCGGTCCCTTTTTACTTTCCTGGATGTTATGTAACTTATATAACACGAGAAAGAATTGGAATAATGTCAGAATTTTTTACAAAATCTCCTGAATCTCCTGAACCAAATAAGTTAAAAAAAAACACGGAAAAATTCCGTGTGTGTTGGTAAGACCCACTGAAAGGATCGATGGTTGAATAAACGCCTTTTAAGTGAGGATCGGTTGTTGGTCCCCACTTTTTATATAAAAAATGACATCTACAACGTTAGAAACGTATTCTGTATTAGCAAAAGGCGGGTATCTGTCATTGTAATCAGAGTTGAGTTACACACGTGTGTAAATTTGCATATCTCGATTGTACCCCTTAACTGTACTTGTGCTATTTGTTTCTCGAATATCACGTAATCCTCTATTAAAAAAACACATTTTGGAACGAATACGGGTTTAACAGCTCGGACAGATAGTCAATAAAAGTAAATGATAATGCTACTAATGACTATACTATGATAATGTCTTAATTGTTGTACACGAAGGATCTAAATTTAATAAATACATTTAAATTAAATTATAAAAAGATTGAAATGAAACAAGTAAACAATCGAAAAAATTGCGTTATAAAATAATCGTACTCGATTAATTGTTTGAGATGAAAATCAAAGAATGACCATCGAAAAACTGACATTTTTCGTGTCAAATGTCCCATTATGTGTGGATATTTACATCGAAGTTTCCTTAGCATGCGACTAAATGTACTGCAAGACCTGTACTGAGAATTTCACGGAGTCACGAATCATCTCTGTCCAACATGCCTATCTTCAATACCCCGAATCTCCACGTTTTGAATCTTCCTAAACCCAAAAATTCAATCATAGAGTTGCACAACTTTCCAGATTGTTATACGATTTTATTTAAAAATAACTTTGAACAACTGTAGTGAGGATCCAAAATGTTCGAGCTAGCTGGGTGAGCGATCCTGTAGATAAGTATGCAACTACTATACTGTATTTACTACACCTCTATAATAAAAAATAGCATCAGTTTTTAATGTTATCACAATATTTAATGTCCGAAATGCGTGTTAATATAATACTGTACACCTTACATAGTTCAATAAAATGTCAATAAATCAGCTTATAAGATATGAGTTGTAAGAGTTGTAATATCTTGTCCAAACATACATATCATTCATTACTAGAAATTCCCCCGCCAAGCATGACGGGGGAATTTCTATGAGAAATCGATAAAAGGTTTATTCTATAGCTAATATTTCCACAAAAAAGTAACCTATACTTTCCGTCAGAATATAGCCAAAATTTCGTCTGAATTGGACAAAAATTGCAGGAGTTATAAGGAATTCACACACACACAGACGACGGCTTTTATATTATTAATACCAGTATGACTTTCGAAACATGCTTTTATAATGAAATTGAGTACATTATTTAAGACCGAATTATCATCTGGAAAAGCAATCTTCTTTGATTCTGTAATCAATGGAGAGATATTTAAAGATATTCATCTGTACAGTAAACACTTTCTTCACATCAGGATGACAATGTGCATGCATAAAATAACGTTCAACTGTAATATGTACGAGAAAGCACCAAACTAATGGTTTGATGCTTTCTGTTCCACTAATCCTTCTGTTTCATCTGTACAGTAGAGGATGTTTCATCAAGCGATGCATAAGATTATGCATCGCTTGATGAAACATCCTCATTTCCATGTGTTTCTGCATCATCACTGGAACATTCGCGAACTTCAAATACATCATCGATAGATCAGATTTCCGAATTTTAAAGGTTAATGATGAAGAAACGAAATTTTGCAGGATAACTTGTGTGCAAGAAGCATCGATGCTATTAAATTTTGGTGGTTAAAGTTAAAGGAATTGAAGAGATAGAGATGGGCACGTATAGTGTCTCGAGAGAGTCAGACTTAATGAAGATATTACTCGTTATTAGCATTTACAATTGTTTATAAAACTCATCACTACCCTCAAAATTAAGCATTTTGCCATTTTATAATAATTAATAATATAAAAGTTATTTTTAAACAAAATCTCGTAGCAGATGGAAGCACAGACAATTTTAATTTTAATTATGTGCTAATGTATGTTAGTGTTTTTTCCGGAAAAGTTACGCAACTCTTTGCTGAAATATTTTTTAACTTAATTACGAAGATTTAATTAATAATAAATTTTATTTTCTCTTGAAAATTATTTTAGAGTCATATTTATTGCACGAATAATTAAAATTTCATAGATTAAATGGAACAAGACTGTTGATAGAAGCGATTGCTACGTGTTTACCCCATCAGAAAAAAGGAACTAATCTGTTTCTGGAAAACGTTAATAATGTTAAAATAAATCTTAAGTTAATCTAAGAGATTAAATCCTTAATCGAATGTCTCAGATTACTTTCGGGTGTATTTTAACCCCCATTAACTTTGGGGAAAGCAGAAAAGTTCTATCTAAAGTAAAGATAAAACTATACACAACACACGTGCGGTTCTCTTGTTTTATTTAATCTGTGTTAAATATTAATTTTCTTTCTTGTTTGATATCGTCACAACTAGGAAATTTTTTATTTATTTTCCCATCTGTTATAACACTAGAAAGTATTGTAATCGTGTTCAATTTGATCATTTAATAGCTCTTATATTATTAATTAATTATTATAAATGGGCATAAAGCATAACTTTGAGAATAGAGGTAAATTTTTAATACATTATAAATCCTAATAACGAGTAAAATCTTGAAAGTCCGACATCCTTTGAGATATGACAGGTATGTACCCCCTCTATCTCCTCATCCTCTCGAGGTTTACTCAACAAAATTTAATAGCATTAAAACACCCCTAATACACAGACCTCCCTGCAAAATTTCAGAAATTTGCGACAAAAGGCAGGGGAATTATTAAGCTTTAAAGTGGGTGAACAAAATCGTGCCCCCCAAATACACACGCACACTAACATATATATATATATACAACACCCAACTTTTTTCATTCCTTGGTGTTTCGAGGTCCCGAATCCGAATTTTATTTTTTTATTTTTAATCATTTCTCATGTTATACGAAGGTTCTACCTCATTTGTTATAGTGAAAAAGTACCTTAACTAGGGATGGCGTCCGTTTAATATCGTTAATTCCACGGATTAGGTGTTGTCGTTGATACTGATTGAGATTGTTGATTAATATTGTCAGACTTTCGCTATATCGAAGCATTTATTTCTTTGTTTTATCTGTCAGAATTCTATTAATGTGAAAGAGCATTACTTATATCGATTGGATTAGTTTCTACTTACGACGTTTTCTATTCAAAATATAATTAAAGTAATCGAAAAAAACGAGTTGCTTAACTTTTCCGGCAACATT